ACACCAATTTGCCTAAGTAATCCCCACCTTTCATAAATACCAGATGAAGAATGTCAGGCAAGACCATCAACTCGACGACCCGGTTTTATGACGGCGCGGGGGAGCTGGTCTTTGAGGCAGTAGATGGCGTTGTGTTCCCGCGCCCCCATTTGAACGCTAAGGAGGTGGGAGGATAATGAGGTCGCCCACATGTGTACACTGTTTGTCTGACCTTCTCTCTGACATATTTTTACAGGTTACGACCTTGACACACATGTGAAGCACCTTGCAAGATGAACTGAAGTGCTCTCTGATACTTATACATACACACTCACACGTCATACACACACGCGAACGCACGTACCAGTCACACACACACACACACTCAACACACGCACCTACCAGTCACACACACACACACGTCATGGGGGGTGAGGGAGGGTGGCGGAAGCGAAAGATCATGAAATATTACGGCCATTTTACCTAAATTCAAGCCGAGTTTATTCTTTATATTGTTCAACATTGCAATTCGGTCAATATGTATAATGTTTTCATCTGCTTCACTATGAATCAGAAGACGTGAGCTTGACTCTCTAAAACACGAGTCACAAATCTTCATCAAGTTGGTAAACAAAAAGCCCGGTCGACGCCTCGTGTGTTTAGACAGAGACAAACATGACTGTCTCTCCCCATGTGTTTGAATGGAGTTTTTTTTTATATATACCCCACCTACGTGCTTGATGGCGCATATATTAATATCATAAAAAATAATAATTTCTTAAACATTTAACCAGTATAACTAAAAGACAGAATTAAATTGAAAACAGAATTACATATCTAAGCGCATTACACTATCCTGAGTATAAGAAATAACCTTCGGGGGAAAACAAAGTTATATTAATTCAAAACCTTCAACGAAATTAACGTCTAAGGGGATTCTTTTTCTTACACAACAGAATTAAGTGTCTGGTGGGCGTGCCCCTAGGATGGTTGATGGTGGTGGTGGTGGGTGCAGGGTGCGGGCGGTTGAGTTAGGCCGCGCGACTCGTGTGGGTGATAACACAACTCTTAATCTGGCGGCAACAACCAAACTTTAAAAAAAAAACACCTTGGTCGTTACTTTATACGGCTTTATGACAACACACGTCGATGACTTTTAATAATATTCCTCTCCGTTCAACAATTTAATAAAATCTCTCGTTTTAATTCTCGTTTATTCGTCTATTATTATATATTTACTTTTTATTTGGTTTTGTTACCCCTCGACTCCCTTGATGCCGAGAAATCGTTCCGTGTTTATTTTTTCCTCTCTGGGATGATTTTCGGTTCATCATTTATTTATTCAATGCGCGTACTTGGCTAAAAATGTCTGATTCCAGGACGTCACTGGATAAAAGTCTGAAAGTGTGAAGCTAAAGTTCTCTACGGTAGGGAGTTCAGCGTCGACCAAGACATCCTCTTCTGCAACCTTCCCGGGTGAAGAACTGGTTGGAGGGGTCGTGGTCACATTCCACCTCAGAAACGATCATCAACGGCCACAAGGGACGGGGAGGGTTGCTGGTAGTGGTGGTAGTTTAAGTGATGGTGGTAGTAGTGGTGGTGGTGGCAGTCATGGGGGTAGATTTGATAGAAGTACGGTGATGGTGGTAGCAGCTCCGACCAACCCAAAAACACTACCATCTTCCGGACCACTACCACCATCACCTACTGAACTGCTACCACTACAAACCACAACCTGTTAAGACCATCAAAACCCCAATCAATAAAATATGTGCGGAAAAAAAGAAGAAATCCACTCGCTACATCAAGACAGTTAAGAGAGAAACAAAAGACTGTTTTCTTGCGCCGTGTCGTGGACGTCTTCACATTTTAAAAAGGACGCCTCATATCTGTAATGAAAACCTCGCCTCGTTCCCCTGGCTGTCACCACATAGCATGAGAAGAGACATGGTGTGTGTGTGTGTTGACTCCCTCCCTCAGCACCTGTCTCCCCATACGCTACTACTGCTACTGCTGCTGGTGATGTCATCTATTGACTCAACACGCCATAAAAGTACTTTCCCGCGTCAGGTGTTCATAGTCGACGATCAACCAGTGCCTCTTACTTCCCCAGAGTGTTCAAGGACTGCCGTCTTGGGTTCAATGTTTCAGAGTGTTTTCTTCGTGTGGCTGTTAAGATGAATCCTCTCTATTGGTTGAGAACTAAATATATATAATAAACTCTTTACAATATATGACCAGAAGAGGCGTGGGCGTGCAGGTGTGAGGGACGTGGGGAGGAGTCGACCTCATAAAAAGATACTGGGAGCCCTTATCATCCCCCGTTTTGGGTCAGCCATACTGTTTAGTGATCAACATCTGTCACAAACCTCAACACGGATCATGAACGAGACTCCAGCAGATAATATTGTTCTGGTGATTACGTTGGTTGGTTTACACTTGATGTATTAGAGTGTGGTAAGACTGGTGTATCCGACTCACATGTGGTGGTTTAGTGAGTAAAGTTCCTCCCCCACGCCGCTGCCGCCACAAGGCCCCGCCCACACCATCAGCCAAGGCCGCTACCCGTGACGTCACTCCCCCCACACAGGTGTACTAAAATGGTGTGTGGCATAACACTGTCCGCCTACACACTTGAACATTTTGAAGCTGAACTGTGGCCATGAAGTACCACCAGGTTGGAGAGAGGACCTGGGTGATGATGGTGTACCTCAGGGCACCTCGCTGGTCACCCCGCTTCAGGTAGCTCCACCTCCTTCACCTCGCGAGACTTATATGGATCCAGCCTGCGACACTTGTCTCCTCGTTCAAGCACCAATTTGTCGTTCCAGGTCACCGGTGTCTGAGGCTACGCACCACGTCAGTGAAGAGTACACAATGGTCGCTGCCAGATGATACTCATCCTTGTGTTTTGAGTCACCGAACAGAATTAGATTATGCAACTGGAGATCAAATTCCCGCGTAGAAATAAAGAAAAGATATCATAAATATTTTAGTGTCTTTTTAGATTTTAACCACCGCCGTAAGTTTAGATAAGGAATGTCTGCCTGTTTGTATATATATTACGTGAGTGTGTATGAGGGAGTAGTAGATGTATGTCTTAAGAATATATATATTTATAATGAATGTGTATTGTATACATGTGTTTCTACATTACTACGAGGAAATATCTCCGTGTAATATCTTCCGCTACACAACTCCACCCAAAACTAATTATGTAAACACTTTCACCAGTCACCTTAATTGATAACCCTCACGAACCTGGCAACACCGCGCCCACTGCCTCACCTTATCATATACCCAATACCCACCTCTCATACATAGCCAACATAGTCTATAGCACCCTACATAGCCTAGCATCCAATAGCCGCCCCTCATACACACTCCAACACCCGCCCCTAATACACAGCCGTTGACAAGATAACACACCCGGTCGTCTCCTTACAAGGCAGGACACTATTGGTTACATCTCTCAGGTGTTAGTTTGTT